TCTACTTAATAAAAATATTATTTACAAAAAAAAAATGATTTTGAAAAAAATGGATAAAAATGGAACTGCAAAAATATAACAGTAATATTTATTATATTTATAATAAGTAAGTATAACACATCAGTATTTAGAAATATTCTTTGCAATAAATACTTAATTTTCTTTATTATTACTAATACAAGTTAAAATAAAATTGAGGAAATAACGACAACTTAATTTCAAATCTCAGAAAAAGAGCATTGAAATAAGATTACAATGGATTTTTAATATCTCATTTAAAATCTTTAATATCTTCACCTCTGAAGAGCAAAAGTTAACAGACAGAAATAGTAAACATCGAAAAGTCAGAAATTTTCTTGTTTTTTTTGTCAGATACAGAAATCAGATGAAGAAAGCGGCAAAGATTTTATTATCCAATTTTTTTTTCAATAATTTTTGATTTTTAATGGGCCATTTCTTTTTCTTCCGTAGCTTTTTGTAATTCCAAATAACTTATTTTTCTGGGAGATATATGAAATCGTATCAGTGTCGACAAAACAAAATCCTCAGGTAGCAAATCTCTTCTCTAAATCTATTGCACTTTTTCAAATTCATAATTTTCCACCAGCAATTTTTTCGAAAAATATGTGGAATGCCTCGCTAAAGCCGCTAAAAAAGAATTTAAAGTTTAGGCAAAAGAAAAACTATTGAGTTGGTGCAAAAACCATGCTTTTTATCACAGTAAGATCGGCTATTGTAGAATATTGATATTTATTAGAATATCCACATGAAAATTATTATCAGAAAGCACGTTTCCACATTTTTAAACAAATCCTCATCTACTTTCTTATAATAGACAGTACATCGTTGAAAAATTAAGAAATATTCTTCATTTCTAATAAATATAGCCGGAAATAATGGGAAAACAACGAATAATTATTGAAATAAATTCACATTTCTTAAAAAAAATTTTAAAAAATTTAGGAAATCCTGTAAAATAACAATCGAAATTATGAAAAACAATCAACAATTTATGTATAGGAACGAAGAAGGACAATCGAAAAATTACCCAGAAATTAATAAGTTAAAGTTGTTGCTATCAGTCAAACTAAAAGCCCGGTGATATATGCACAAATAAGTTTTTAAAAATGGATGAAAAATATTTAATAAATCTCATAGTTCAGAATCGCGAAAGTGAATATAGAGAATAAGACAACTTTAGTTTAGAAATCTCAAAAAAAATGAATTTTATTGCCCCAATAAACTTAGAACAAATATGTTTTTTAAATAAACGATAGAAATAAATTATTAATTTTTGCAAAATTTCAAAAACTTTGTCGTTTGAAAAATAAAAGGTGTAAATTTTGAATAAAAAATTATATAAAATCTTATTTCAAACTTTTAATACAAATTTTTAATGCTGAAATAAAGATCACCTAAATTGCCAACAAATGGTTCAGATCCTCGTGTTCAGATAAGAGTTCGATTGCACCTCATAGGACAAAAACCTATCATTAAAAAATGCGGGTGGTGATGGCGACCCATCTGTCCTTTATCGCCATTTGGCTTCTTAAAAATTTCTAGCCATGCTAACAGCGCTAACCAGAAATGAATCTTTATTTAATTATTAATTAATTATTTAATTATTAACTAATTTTTTAATTTAATTCAATGATATTTATATTTCTTTAATCACCTGAAAAACTAATTGAAAATATTGAAATTACCTTTATTATAAACTTTAATCGAGTTGTTCGATGATTTACCATTAATAAATAGATAATCTGAATTGTGATTTCCTCTAAAAATATTTCTAAACAACGACATTATACAGTTTACAACCACATTTAAATATATTCAAACTATCATTTCTGGAAGAAAATTTAAGTTTTTTCTAAATAATTCTGCAAAAGATTTACATTTTACATAAGTATCAGAATTAAAAAAATTAAAAAAAAATTAAATGAAAAATTTAATCGAAGTTTTCATCAATTTCTCTTTTAAACAGAAAATTAGAGAATTTCAGTTACTAATTTCCACAATAAATGTTTTCTCTGCATTAATAACAGCTTAAGTGAGTAGATTTTTCAACGAAAGAACTTTATCAACGATTAAGATTAAGAAGTTATCTCTTATCTGAATGTTCTTCTCATTCTAAATGTAAGCATAGCCTAGTTCAATTTCCACAAACCCACAAATCCAACAATAACAGCTAATTTAGCATATAAAATGGGAAACATATTACTTAAAATTAATAAAATGAAGCGATGGAAAAAATAAATTACCATTTAACTGGAGAACACATGGAGCAAAACATACGGTTAATTGTTAATTGTAAATTATTTTTGTGACTATTTATATGGGTAGGGCGCCTCAGTGGGTTGTTGTTTAATTTGGAGCGGCGATGTTGAGGTTCTATTTCTCGTAGGAATGAAAATCCGCTTCTATTTCTATCACTGAGGAATTTCTATCCCTGGCATATCTGTCCAGTACGACGAGCCAGCGGGGCGAGTTTGACCGGTAATGGTGAGGACTCTCAAAAAAAAAATGTAAATCGTCCTTACGGCTATTTATCTGATGTTCAAATAGTTAAAAAAAATTAAAAAACCCGAAGAAATTGGAATGAAAAGGTTAAATTAATTTTGAAAAATCAAGCATAGATAAGTTGGTGAATTTTTTCATGAGTATATCATAAGTGCAGATGGAAAAATTCGTAATAGTCGAACAAAAAATTGATTTAAAAAAATAAAAATAAGGATTCATATATAACTTTATACAAAAATAAATTTGAAAACGCCAAATAGATGTGAAACTATTCGACGTTAGCAGAGAGAAAAATTACGAATAATTATAAAACACAAAAAAACGAGCAACGATAAAATTAAAATGTTCAGTTTCAGTGATTTACTGATTTTCTGATGATCGCAGCAAAAAGTTTTTGCGAAATTCTGTACATAAACACAACAATGCCTAGAGAAAACAACGAAGCCGAAAGCATCTAAACAAGTGGATTAATGCATCTTGCCTATGCTATGCTTTTTTTGCAATTTTTCGATCATTCAATTATGGGCCACAGATCTCTGTGGCTATGAATTTCAAACAGCAAAAAAAGCTTTCCATTGAGCCAAATTCTTTCTGATTCGACTCAATTCGATATTTTTCTTATTAATCGCTGCTAATAATTATTCAATTTTCGTCGTAAAATAGGGGCCTAGAGGGTGGGAAAAAAGTGATAACAATTCTTTAATGAGGAAAACAGTGTAATATCCCAAATTCTTTAAATATCAATATCCATCCCAGTGGCGAATTATTTGACCGTTACAAATCAACACAAATATCGATTCAATGAACTGAAGAAAAATAACACTTCACTAGCAAACTGTTTTCTCTCTCAATAAGAAAAAACATGCTCAACTGGCTAATCAATCTCTCTTAAAATGTTTAATAAAAAAATCTGCAAATCAGATTGATAATTAATAAAAAAAGGCACATATCATATCAATTTACTTAATAAACAAAGTAAAATTCATAAAACAAATTAATAAAAAAAGAAAATGATTCTTTTTTTTTGTATTTGTATATTTGTATATTTTGTATTTATTAATTTTATATTAATTTTTAATCGCGATTTTTATAATAATATTATTACTTTATCCAAAAATATTAAAGATGAATTGTCAGTGAAGTGGTTTTCTCTTTAAAAAATCAAAAAAACCATATAATTTCTAATAATACTGAAGTATAAAATAATGCGTGCTCTACGGATTCCAGCAAATGAATAATGCAGTGACAGCAAGAAATAAACAAAGTGTGTTCGAATGTAGTGGATGAACGGTCAAAGGTGGTTTTCGAAATTGAAATGAAATTTCGTTAAAATGGTAACCAAAGTCTCATAGGATTTCAAAACTTGATGAATGCACCCCCTCACGCTGTCACCCGCCGAACCAAAACAAAGGCGCTTTGGATGAAATGGGCCAAAAAATGATTATGACAAGCAAAATACTACCATCTTCAGGCCATTAGGAATTCAAATAAAGCTAATGTTAGTTTCACCTTAAATTACCGAACAACACAATGACTCCATCGCTTCAATGATTATCAATATCTGCTTCGCTTGTTTCTAGAAGAGAAAAGAAACTATTTTTGGGTAGCATTGTTATTATGAAAAAGAATACTTTACGATAATCCTAGTCGTAAATACTAATAGGTATCAGCTGAAGAAATACAAATAACAACCATTATTAAATCATACATCCGTGCCAGAAAAAAGCTGCTGGAGAATAAAGGAAACAATTCTTTATGGGTTAGTAAAAACAGGTCAAACCACTGACTCGATCTTTAATAACTTTCGCAACTCGATCTTGACCGTCTTTAAGAAATTTTATTGGTACTGCTATCGGCAATCCGGCGATACGACAATGGATATAGGCTTGAGCCAAAAAATCAGACAGTTTGGCTGGGAAGTTCTATCTCATTCACCTTTTAATTCTGGCCATTCGCTTTTGGAAAATTTGTAAGTTTACAAGTTTCTTTTTTTCATACTTTTAATTAAATTTTTTTTTCATACTATTAATGTTTATGAAACAATTTTTTGATGAAATTTCGTTAGAAATTTTTTTATTAATAGAATATTAATATAAAATATAAATACAAATTTATCAAATATAATCCAATTTACTAGTAAACTATCGCTACTTAAGCAGTTTTAATGGAAAAAAGCTTGACTGAGTCAAAGTTCCACACCAAAAAGAAAGAGCATCCAACGCGCTTATGTATTAATTAAAAAGAATATTTTTTGGCAATATTTTTAATATTTAATTAAACGAACATTTAAAAAATTCAAGCTCTAAAAAAGTGATAAGAAGAAGTGATAAAAGTGACATTTTTAGCAAAAAACTCAGTAAAAAATTCAGAATCAATGCAAATGCAAATTGAAAATTTAACTTTTAATTTTAAGGTAATAACAAAAACCCTTAAACAAAATAAATTTTGAATAGATATCAAGTTTAAATATTTCTTTATTAAAAGATTTTTTTCGAGTTTTTTTCCAAAATATTTATTTTAAAAAATAACTTACTTGATAAATTACGAGTTGCGATCATTGTTGTCAGAATTGCTCCCTAAAATTTAAAAATTATATTCGAATTTTTTCTGTAGAAATTTCTCCAATTATAGCTCTAATATATCAGTGCAAATCAATCAATATTTGCATAATATGCAAATCAATTACCATACTCTAAGGTGGCATAAATGGTTTCTTCGTAAGCTACTTCATGCGAATTAGTAAAACTAAAAAACAGCTATAGTGATCTTTAGAAATGATTTGAATATTCATCGGTTTCAAAAATTATTATTTTATTTAAAAATTATTGAAGAATCGTTTTGAACATAAAATATCGAAAAAAGACGGCTGTCATATTTTTCCAGAGTTGATAGTATGTTCGCCCAGTAATAATTAGCCAAAAAATCTTAATTTTTTTCAAACCTCAATCATCTTTCAATTTAATAATTCAAAAATGGAAAACAAAAGTAATAAAGAGATAATGAGACTGATGAAAAGTTAATAATCCGGAAAAATCGACTGTTAAAATCCGTTTTGTCACGAAAAAATAATAAAAATATAAAAAAATTTTTCGTGAGGAAATTCGTCTATCATTATTTTATTTTCATGCAAATGCGATTAGTGCATTTAATCACTTGTTGTTGTTTTTATAGTTAACACTTGAATCTAACTAACAATTAATTCAAAGCTTTAAGGATTTCTGAACGATCGAGAAAAAAATTTGTAGGGAATTTTTTTAAAAAAAAGTCGACTTTATCGTTCATCCAGCACCAAAACGTAAAGCACAGTTCTTTAATAGATTAACTTGATGAAGAAAAGGAGGATATCAGATAGAAACCTCCATGCCGAATATTAATTTAAAAAAACTTGTGCAAAACGTAGATAAAACTGAAAGATATATTTGTGGCTAAAAATGCGAATTAGATAACAAAATAGTGAAAATAGTGAAGCATATTAATTTTTTACGACACATTTTAATAAAAATATTTTAAAATTTCCGTCTAAGGCTGAAGATAAAAAATGATTATTATACGTTTCCTATAAAATGAAATTCAATCGCTGAGACAAAAACAAATAAAAATTTATTAAAAATAAATAAGAAAAAATAAAAATAAAATATTGAAAAATATTTTAAAAAAACATGGTTTCTAATTTGTTAAATTTCGAAGAGTAAGGAGGGGAGGAATAGTAAGGAAGGACGATAAAGAAAGAACAGTGAGGAATAAAAAAGAAAAAAGAATGAATGAGAAGAGAATGAATGAATGGGCAAAGTGAATGAATATTTATTCAGAAAAGCCTAAAAGAAAAAAAAATTAATAAAAGAAAACCTCTTAGCTAGATTCACTCAATACATCAATCTTTTTCACTATTTCAGCAGAAAAATTCTAAAATAAATTTTAATAGAAATTAAATAAGAAAACAAACAACTTTTAAAAACTATGAAACTTACAAGCAAAAAAATTTTAAAAAAATTTTAAAATCATATATTCCATTTTAATAGATGTTTATGTTTATTTTTATTTGTTATAGTCTATAAAATTTATTAAAACTTATTTTCAAGAAGTTTAACTCCAAAAGCGGAAACGTAAATTTGAGAAGTGCTCTTAGGCACCTTTCATTCCATGGTTTATTCGATATAAAGCGAGAAGTTTTCGCATGCTATACTGTGGTTCGTTATTTTTGTCCCTTTTTTCAATTTTTGCCCATTCCTTCATCTACAAACCATTATAGCTCCTATAGGACAATCACTCCAATTGCAGCTCTTGTAATTTTTTCTCTTTTCCTCCTTTCTCGCTCTTATATACAACTCTCTTTTACTTCCTTTCGACCTACTTTCTCTGCAACTACCCATCTTTTCACCAATAAGTGAATATCCCACTATGCACCACATAACTTATTTTATTTTGGCTATATCACAGATCAGTGATTTTAAATGGTTTTGACCAGTTACATTTCGGAGCCACATAGCCTATAAACCGTTATTTATTTCGATCTTCATTCCCACGAAAAAAAAATCAAAAAAAATTGAAAACAAAAGTAAAAGAAAAGGACAAAAAGAAAACAATCGGACTAACAAATTAACTATTGAATTAATTACCGTGAAATGAATTAAATAAATTAATTTAAAAATTCAATCCACAAAAAATAGTAAAAAAAACTAAATATTGTTTTAACATCGTGAAAAATAAGCGCTTTATAAATCCTTTTATCACACAATATTCAACTACCTCAATTCCGTCGTCCGATTGAGCACTGGAAGTAGCCATATTTGTTTTTTCTGGAGCTACTGCTGTTGCTGCTGCAGAGAATGATGACGACGATGAAGCAGATTCTTGAATAGTTCCACTAAACGGTATTGACGAAGGTTGTTGCGATGATGATATCGAGCTATGCAAAACAGTATTGCTCGGAGATATGGCACTGTCCGCTATTCGAAATACACCACTCATACGATTCACAACCGTTACAGCAGATATTGCAGCCTTTTAAAACCTAACTTTCAAAATATGATAAAAATCAAAAATTATTTCCAACCGATGATGCTCAAATATTTTTTAAAATTCCCTGTTTTTTGAATTGTAAAAGCTCTTCCAATTAGATTCTATGAAATTTTATACCTTAGCCATATACCAGCTGATGGAAACATATTTGAATCAGAATTTTCCAACAGTAATTGTTAAAGATGGTTGAATGTTAACTTTTCAGGGTAAAATGAATTTGAACGAAATATTATAGAGTGGTTTTCAATCCGACTTTAACTCCTAGAATCCTGGCTACGCCAGGTGGTTTTCATTCCCCTTTCACTACTGCCTGTACCATAGAAAATTTTTATATTTTTTTAATTTATACTTATCCACTAATTTTAGAAAAAACAATGCAAAATATCATTGCTTTTAGAAAATATTTAAAACGCCATGAAAAAAGACATATTTAGAAACAATTTCACCAATATAACAGATAAACCAATATCCCGTAAAAATCTTATAAATATGAGTGACAAAGCTTATTATGCAATATGCTCCTGCCGCATGCAATTTCGCATGCACATTACTGTTTTGTAAAAATAGCATGCTCGTATGTTTTTCTTTCGACATAAACCATATTTTTTGTTCCTAAATCGTTTTTCAAATTATTTAAATATGAAATAAAATATAAATTTGCAGTCGATCTTCATCCATGCATATTAAAACTAATTGTTATGATTTCGAATGAATAAATGAAAGCGATCCATTAAGTGGATGTTCATTCGCAGACATTTATTATTGTCCTAAATTCTCGATATAGATTATCTAATTCACAATAACGTTTTTTAAGATGCAAAGGACATATGAAAGTATTGTGGAATGAACTGCTGATGCTTTGCCTCATATTACTGCAGAAATTTCCAAAATTTTCATAAAGAAAGAATAATAAAATAATAATAAAAATAAGCTTGAGAAGGCTTTATGCTAATCCATAAAAAAATTTTAAAAAAGAAATGAAAAATTTAAAGAAAAAGATTCGCGAAAGCTTTCATTGGCAAAAATATTAAAATTTCTATAAAATTCTTCAAATTTGCTGGAATCTACAAGTCTGTAAAAATTTTCTCAGAGATTTTTAAGAAATGAGAAAAATAGTTGATCTAGATTTCATTTGAAGCTTACAAAATAAATTTCTGAATGAAAATTCTTCAAATTTTCTGGATACAAATTTGAATTTTTGAATTTTGGACTTGAATTTTTTAATACTTATTTTATTTTAAATATTTATTCAAAAGCATCCAGAGAAAAATGTTAAGGAGTAATCAAATCAAATTGGCTTTATGGATTTCTTCAGAAAAATTAATTTTGAGATTAACTTTTCGCCTAGAATTTTCAGTGAATCTTTCCCATTAAGCAGAAATAAAATCCATAAATAAAATTTTTCGCTCTTTAAATGCGAAACAATCGATGATTCCATTCAAACATCATTTTATTACTAATGGAAATAAAATTTGCTTTTGACGGTTTGACGGTTTTTTTTAATTCGAAGAGCAATAAACAGATAAATGATCGTAGAATGTCGATTTTAATTAGAAAAGGAGGCCTTTATGAGTGTTTCTCATTAGTCAATCATTAGCCATATACAGTGGTCGAGCTAATTCATTTGGGAAATCAACCTCATTTAACATAAAAGTAATTTATTATTATTAATGCTAAATTTCACGACACGAAATTGATATTTATTGCCTATTCCCAAAAAAATTTTTCATAAGGCCCATTCCCCAACCAGTAATCAATTTTTTCAAAAATTTTAAATTTTTTTAGATTTTTCGAGCGAAAATTCGATTCTAAAAAGCATGCAAATATAGCAGCTTAAAAGGCATTCGTGAACAAAATAGCCATAGAAAAAAAAGCAAGAAGGTAAAGGTAAAGTCCCAAGGTTTGAAAAAAATACCTTTAGTTTTCTCCTAGCATTGAATTTCTTCAAGCAATCGACCGTATCTTGTCTATGCATAACGGAAGCCACACGTTCACGATTCTAGAAATTTACAATGCTAAAAATTTACAGTATGTACAAAACAAAAGTATGGAAAATTATTCTATTTAAATATTTAAATTTAATTCTATTTAAATACCTTTAGATATCGGTATTTTTACCAATATGACATGTTAAGAAGTCTTCTCCGATTTTCTATATAAATGAAAAATCAAACAAAAAACCATTTTGATCCTTTAAAAGCCATTAAAAAGGTTAATAACATACGCAAATCCATGGAACTTTAAGAGCCTGCTCAGCAGTGATACGTTTCTTTGGATTGACTGTTAACATATTATCGATAAGATTTTTCGCCTCAGGTGTCACTGTGTCCCATTCCGGACTTGGGTACTATAAATTTGATTACAGCTTTTTTAAGACAAGCCAAAGAAAAAAATTTATAAATATATATGTATATCATGAAAGACGACAAAATACAATCTTTATTCTGCTTAACACAAAATAAAAATAGTTTGATGCTAACTGGAAAGAAAATTTGATATAGATGGATTATTCAGTTTAAAGATAAAACTAATTATATAAAATATAATCAAGTCAAACATCGTAAGCTCCAGCTTTAATCTGAGCATAAAGTCGATGTTGGTCTTCATCCCAAAATGGAGGATAACCAACTAATAAAATATATAGTATAACCCCTGAAATGATTAATAAGTTGATTAAATGAGAAATTTGTAAAATAAATGAAACTGTTAATATGCTTGGTGAAACTCGAATCTTAATGAATAACGAGGCAAGCAGCTATTAACATCAATATTCAATATTTTAAAAATAAAATTTCAAAATATACCACATGCCCATATATCAACAGGTTTTCCATATGGATCTTTTTTAAGAACTTCTGGTGATAAATAACCAGGCGTTCCAGCGAAACCAAACCATGCTTCAATATCACCTTGCACTTCTATTGCAAGCCCAAAATCCGCCAGTTTTACAGCAGCACCTTTCGCTTTACTAGCTAATAATAGATTTTCTGGCTAAAAAAAATTAACCAAAGAAACTAGTTAAAAATGATAATTAAAATTCTTCGAACATAGCAGAAAGCTCCTGGATCCTTACAGCAACTTCACAAATTAGTTACAATTTTAATCCTACCAAGGAAAAGAAATCTAAACACGATGCATGAACTATTAGTCTCAACAATAAATGTAATTTAATAAATGTAATTTTGACTTTTCTATGGACATTTTGATAAATAATTGAATCAGAATCAGATGATTTACCTTCAAATCACGATGAACCACATTATTAAGATGGCAATAAGCGATTGATTCCAGAATTTGTTGTATACAATGACTAAAATTCGTGAGTTACAATTTATAGTGAAAGATTATTAACAGAACTGCAATAAAAAAAGAAAACAATAAAATCTTTATTTCTGAAGATGTAAATATATAACGCAAAAAAAATATTTTTCCAAACTTTTTGAGAAATTTCTCATCAAATATTAATGATCAATCCCAATAAAACTTAACTTGATTAATTCAAATTGTTCATAAACCAAATGAATTTGTTTAAGAATAAAACTTATTTCTTGATAAAGAAAAAAAATTATCATTATTCCTAAAACGTGAAAAGCAATAAAAATTCTAGGAAAAGACTTTCTTAATAAGCAGGTGATAGAACAGTAACAGTTACAGAAGATCTTTTTATGGATAGAAATCCAGAATATTTTAAGATATCACAATATATCACAACTTTTAGTTGGTTCCGAAAAATTTGAGGATACCTGGCATCAGCTTCACTGTAAAATTCTCGGGCTACTATATCTTCAAATAATTCTCCTCCAGTAACTCTAAAATACATTCTTATATCGAGTAATTCTAAAATAACTCATTATTATTTTTATAAGTGAAATAAAAAAAAATCAGTTTAAGATCAGTTGTAATTTTCTATATCCACAAAAATTAATTAGTAATGTAGCAAAAGCGACAAAATCGCGAAAAAATCTTAGAAGATTAATAATATAATTACAAGTAAAATATAATAAACTAATGACCATAATAATTTTTAGTTCTTTATGTCAAGGATTATAATGACTGATAAATCGGAATTTCCCTCTACCGATTTCCCCAAAAAAAATTAAGCGCTTAAACCATGAGCTAAATTCACCAGTTGAAGCGCAGTTTTTAGTTCAAAATCCATTAGTCTAAAATAGCATAAAATCCAAAAACTTACAAATCAAAAATGAGATAATGAAATGTTTCTTCTTGTATGCTTTCATGCAATCTTACTGGAAAATAATTAATTAATTCCATAATTAAAGCTATTGTTTGAAACGATAAAATGAAACAAATAAAATAAATAAATATTTTCTAAACTGCGGTTTCTTTCGAGCTTTCTTACTGTTATCTTTTCCAAAACAGACAGAGTGGGAAATAACAAAAGATATCAAAGATGGCATCGTAAACTAGAAATGGTACTAGCGACTATACAAAAATTTACATAAAATCTTACCGATATTTGGGTGTTGAAGTTTTCTGCAGATCCGCGCCTCTCGTTCGAGCTTTTGGAAATCTAAACTTTTCTTTCGTTTTAGGTGAATAAAAATCCTATGCTAACAATTCACTTTATTGAACAAATAAAATGTTTGTTAAAATTTATCATGAAAATAAAATCGATTTTATTTAATCAAACTGGTGAAAATTTCGAACTCACGATAGACATTGATCTGCTTTACTTATTATTTAATGGATAAGTGGAAACCAAAATTATAAATCAAAGAAAAGTTCAGAGTATTTATGCTATTTACAGACTTAGTCAAATGATATCATTTATTTAAATTAATTTATTTAATAATGCATAAAATGGAATAAATTCTTTTAAAAAATCTATTAAGCAATCAATTTTGATATATGTTTTAGATTAAAATGATAACTTTATATGAGTAACTAGAAGAAAAATTTTCTCTTCTAGAATTTCTGCCGAATTTTTTAAAATTCTAAACCTTTTCTGAGTGAAAAAATTATAAAGACCAAAAAATTTAAAATTTAGTTAAACTCCAACTGGCACTTAATACTTCGGATAAAGGAGTGGATGCTGGTTTAAATTATTCGTGTTGAGAGGTAAAGATTCGATATCGCCGACAAGAGCAAATCTGTCATCTAAAATCCCCACCTGTATTTCTCTCGACTTTCTCGCAAAAATTTTTGTCGTATGAGAAAACTAGCCTAAGCAGAATTCGCTATGCATTTCTTTAAGTAATAATCAGGCAAAAATTACCAAAAGAAATTTGAAAACTTGCCTCGAGCTGATAATTTTTTCGTATTAATAATCTTTGCAGCAAACTCAACACCTGTTCTTTTATGAACACAACGGCGTACAACTGAGAATGCACCTCTTAAAATTTCAAATTTATCATTTTCACGCTACCACTTCAATATTATTGCCTAATATAAAATTAATTTGAAAAAAGCAATAAATCAAATCTTAATTTAAAAAGGGCGAGAAAAAATATTTCAATTTTAATATAATAATTAAGTGGTTTACAGATTTTTTAAACCAACGAAATCCAACTTTCGAAAAAAACGACAAAATTTTATCGAAAAATAAATTGCTTTAAAGAATTTTTAATGAAAGTTATTTGTTTTCCACAGAAGTAATTTGATGGTGAAAATGAAACCACTTACTTTCCAAGTTCCTCCTTAACATCATAATTATCGCTAAAACTCGATATACTGTTCATCATATTACTTGTTTGTTGAGGTACAACTACCATAATTTTTTAAAGAAAAAGCTGTCTTCTCGTTCTTCTTAATAAATACATCGTGTTACAAATTAATTTCTCTCTTCCTTTAAACGATTATATATTTCTTTAGATCTATTTATAATTTACAAATTTATGTATAAGTATTTATATATACATATAAAATATATTTTAGAATAAATGACTGCACGACCGCTGCCTAAAACCTGTTAAATTTTTAGGAAAACGACAGATGGAAATCGCGTGACGAAGTGATACTTTTTCGCGAAATAAATATGAAAATATTTACCACAGAAGTTGAAAATCTAATGAAATATTGCAAATCTGCATGAGATAAGAATCGCATGCGCGTTTTTTACGAACAAAAAGAACATTTCTTCGATATGAGTTAATGAACAGTGATGAATCCGAAGATAGGAAGACAGGTTTAGCAAACTCGTCGATTCCCTCACATATTCAACAATTTTTCAGTTACTTTTATTTCAATGGCCAACAATATTAAAATAGCTCTTTTTAGTGTAATTTTTCTAATTTAGCGGAAATATATAATGTAAAAATGAAGTTCGTCGAGCTCACTTTGCAAATCGATTAAGGAAGTTAGAAATCGAAGCTTTTTTATTTATTTTTTTGTTTTAAGTCTAAGTTTTCAGTACTTTGAAATACTTTCATATTTTAAATTTTTTACAAGAATAGTCCGAATATTAATGTACTGATTTTACATATTAATGTAAAATCGTCCAAAAATTTGCAATCGAATGACGTCGAAGGATTTTTATCTTCTTCATAATGGAATTAAAGCAATTCCAAATGAAGGAAGGGTTTCAAAAATTAACAGAAAAACTGAAAACAAAGTACGACTTCAAAAAAGCTTTTAACAAGCGATACCATGTGATATTTCCAGTTGGTGCTGGGAATTCACCTCTACTTCAGCCCCACTTCAAGCAAAACCTCTCGCATTCTACCAACAGCGAGTGCTAACCATTTATTAAATGATATTACGCAAGTTAGTTTTGCTTAATTTTTGTTAATTCTGTTTGTTCTTGAAGAAGAATATTCCATGCTTTCATTACAGAAAAACCTCGATAATTTAGCATTTCTTCAATAATTCAACAAGTTTTGCATCGAAATTAAGTTATATTAATATTATTACATTAAAAGTTTGCCTTAATTCTCCATAAGACGCTGATATTGAAATATTTGAAGGCAATACTGATTAAAAGCGTTCACTATTTCTATTTAGACGACTGGTTCTGCTGGTAAAGAAGTGCAAATGACGACTCATCAGCACCAATCGGACTTTTGATGGCCGACCATATCGGAGGAGCGAGCAGAGCCTCTTGCAACACAAAAATCACTAAAAATCTAAACCACTGCCCACTCGGCTATTCTGCGCTTCCGTAAATGTGGAATGTTTCCAAGTTATTTAAAATAAACAACAGAAAAATAATAAAAGAAATCTCGATTTGTTTCAAATTCCATTAAAATAACAAAAAAAGAAGAAGAAAATCGCCAATTACGTGAAACTTTCGATATTTCACCAAATTTTCTCTGCTCGTTTGGTTGGATTCGCGGTGACTTCGTTACGATGTTTACTGTTTTAAACTGATAATCAGTTGATAAACAAAAAAAATTTGTGTCGAAACAATGAATTTCATAAAAAGAAAATTAAAAATGAAAGTAAGAAAATATAAATTTCGATGAAAAAAGAAAAATTCCATCAAATACGAATGCAGAAATACATATATTTGAGATCAATAGAAGCGCATGACAATCGGGTTTAAACAAGCGACGCCCGATAAATCAACGAAGCAACCACGAACCAGCCAGCCAGCCAACTAACCAACCAACTAACCAACCAACCTCAACGTTCGAATTTTTTCATTTATTCGCATTCAGCACGTTTTTCCGATAAAAGTTATTTCTTAATTCATTAATCGAGACCGAATAATTTGTGGATTAAGGTTACGAAGGATATATAATGGATTTGAAGAGATAAATAAAAAAAATCGATTTAAACTTAAATGTTTATCCAATATTGTCTTTGTAATAACTTGCAGAAATCGAAGATCAGCGTTCTCCGTTTCTGATAAGCCTTGTTGTTAAGAGTTTTTCAGCGGCAAGCTACTTCGCGCTACAGAGTGGGTAGAAGCAAATATGAGCAAAAATACTCGGTTATCACGATTCTTAGGATTTTAAATTGTGAAATGCGAGTTTTATGTAATATGAAACTGTATCGAAAAGCTCCTATACCCTTATCACCACCCATTATTTGGTTCATAAATACTGCAATTTGAATTTTCGTCCCCTATTGGTCCAATGCCCGAGTGTTGCACTGTTTAGACTAGTTCAAGGAGCAAAACCGAGGAATTTTATCACTAAAAGTCAAATACCGGTGATGGTGAAAAATCACCTGTACTTCTATCCCCGACTGATTCTTTGGTGAATGAGCCAGAATGCTATCGTAAATAATGAATTATTGTAAAAATAAATAAAAATTTGATTCGATGGCTATCCGATTTATCCGATTTTTTCTATCAAATCTTGAGATCAGCGAAAAAATTAAAAGTAAACCATCCTCCTTCTAGTATCCAGCACCATTGCTTATTTGGTTCACTGCACTAGTGACTCGGCTAAAACGTCTCTCAGTGCCATTCCTGAAAACAATTGAAGTTGCTTTTTTTGTACTCGTATTCGGTAGGCCTTCTGTGTATCAAAAGTAGTCACTTACTCCTCCACTCTCAGTGGCCAAATTTTGCAGCCATATATTAGCATTGTGCATAATATAGTTAGATAGATGCGAACTTTGTTTTGAGGTTCAGTCCAAAATAGGTATCGCCAGATGAAAAGCACTTCTAGCTGCAGCCATCCCAGTCGGAATTTCATCTATAGCTTTGGCATTTAGTATGATAGTGGATTCGAGATTCAAAATCCAGCATTTTTTCAACATTCATGAATTTTAAATTGCGATTAGAATCAGATATATAACGAAAAGGGTTCGCATGCTTTTTATAGAACAGCTTTGACTCATACCGCTGTATATTTCAAAAGGTCGTAACAATTCCCTATAAACACATATCTGTGCTGACATACACCAACAAATTGCTTCAATAAGTTCGATCATTTTCTCTATACCAGTTTCTCTGCGTTGCATGAGTTATCAGTGCGCCACCTGTAGATCATCAAAATCAAACAACGTCGATAAAGCATGGCAGACATTTGAAATGATTTTCCAATTTCTTTCTCGGCAAGAAAATTCGGTCAGGCTTAAATCTGGTTTGGTCAAGGCATGTCCCACACTGCTATGAGTCTATTCAGCAGAAGTGAGACAAAAATCTAAAAAACATCTAGAAAACTGGTAGCTTCTTTCTCTATAACTGACTCAAATTCCCTTGTTTCCAGACATATGGCATTTGCTCCTTCTCCTATGTCAGCTAATATAATTTTTACGGGTGCACTATGGACGCTGGGAATTTGAAAATTTCAGCCCACAGTCCATTTTCTCCAAAAATTTTGTTGGTCTTCAGCTTGTAATTTACACAAATTATCTTTTGCTCGATTATGTTCGTATTTGCAATCTTATAGCTCTAAATGCGTTTCAGTTGTTTCAATCAGTTGTATCCATGATGTTGGATGCGTCGTCGTAGTTTCTCTTTCCACTGAAATGGACGTATGGTCTTAACGAAATTTCCATTCTTATCTCAGATCATTCCATTCCACGAGCACCACTTGTCTTGTGAAGTAGGCGGAACAATTTTCGATGATTGGCCTATTTGAACTGCCACATATAAGTTATAGTTCCAGTATTGATATTTCGCTGCCACTATTTATCTGCCGATACCTGGCGATGGCATCTTGTGAAATGCATGCTCTGGCAGCGCGGACCATTTCATCCATCTTGCCTTATTCCGAATTGTTTATCTGGATTTAGTTGACTGCTGGAGGAAGGTTTTGCCTACATCAAATATGACCAATATTCCTCAGATGTTCAGGAAATATTAATGTTAGCTATTAATGTTGTTAAAGTCCTTTAATGCCTCAGCTTGAAATATACTCTCTGAACCTTGAAATATAGCTTGTGCGCCATCCCTAGCTATCTATTAGATCCCTAGCTAAATATTAGATAATATATCATTTATGATATTATTTAAAAAGTTCACATGATGCGGGAAATTTCGATTTTTACCATCCGATTATAGTTATTTCGAACTGTATTATATTCTATTATTTTGTAATTTCCTCTTTATTTCATCTTTAAATTGTTAATTTTATTTTTGTCATTAATTTTTATTATTTGTTATTTTAACTGTTATTATTAATACAAACATGGCCTTTGCGCCCTGCTTAGCTGGTTTTCAATAAATAAATAAATAGTCAAAAGATTTTGAGGAATGGTTTTCCACGTTATCCTTTTCATTCGAATCTTTACTCTGACCATAACATTATCTCTGACCGCTGAAGATCCCTAATTTCGGCAGCGGTTATCTAATAACTTCGATGCCACTGACCAAAATTTAGTCAGCCTAATTCTAGTGTTGACTGTCTGGTGGATTGTACGTAAATAGATTCTTCTGCATGAATATCGTGTACTGATGGAAAAAGCCCATGCTCCTCAGCAAAATGGAGAAGATGCTCTCCATTGATATGTCAGGTCCCAACACCATATTTACCGACTAAAGATGACAGTGGAACACGTAGTATGCACAAAAATCCAACTTTCGAAATTCAGAATTCCAATTTCCCTGCCAAATTTAGTGGGAGAAATTTTTTGAGAGGCTAGCAAGTTAAGCTCGAAAACACTGATAATTGAGATATTGCAGAACTTGCTTTAAACGGCACAGAGCAATGGATCATTAACAGAGTTTCATATGATTAGAGTTGATCACACCCTCCCAAACAACTGCGACTCCATTTTCTTGAGTTGTACTAAAACCCATATTCTTATGAACCAGGTATAACAGGCATTTCTCTTGACACAAAATTAG